GAAAGATCGACCCTTTTTCAGTGTTGCTCTTGGAGCAGAATGCTGGATTTTTGGGATTTGTTGTTATATGAACGGTTCACTGCAATGGAAATCGGGAATCATTGTGGGTGTTTTAGGCTGCAATAAGTGTCACATCAAACAGCCTTGCAATGTACACACTTACATAATGTTGTCTCTTAATTTCAACAAGAAACAAATAACAACAGTTATGGGTCTTATTTGCCCAATGTATGCTTAGATTGATAGAAAAGGGTTAAGGAATGTGTTATTGTAAACAATTCTGCCATGGGAAATGGATGAGAATTTGAAACGAAAGCAGAGATAAAAACCAATCTGCCGTGGTTAGCTATGCAAGGCTAGCTTACTGTATTGATTTCCTGATCGACTACGGTGGTAACTTCTAAAATGTGCTTGAAATCCCGGATTTAACCACGGAGTGCCTAATTGGATTATGTCGTGACGTAAATGACGATGTTGCGATTTTCACAAAGTTCAGCCTGGTTTTTCCGTGCGGAAATGAAAAGCCCCAAATTAGTTTTTATATCCTCGATAACAACACTATTTCCACTTATCATGAGCTGAACCAGAACCGATTCTGAGTTATACCGCACGGTGAAAATGATAGTTGAAAATGGGCCACAAAATGCGATATTTGAAATATTGGTGATTTTTGAAAGCGTTCCGTGATGTCAAAATTAAATGAAACGGTCTCGTTTTAGATTTAAGCCGTACCTCAATCCCTCCTATACAAGTTTGTCAAATTGATACGAGCTTGCTTTCTTTTGCGCTTTTCATGAACAAAGTTCATTTACCTCTACTCGGGGCACTGATTTCCGCCATTTTACGGCTACCGACGCTCGTTTTAGTTTTGGCGAATTTTCTAGGATAAAGACGCAAGTCTGGGAAAAAAAACCCTGCCACGTTTCTAAGTTTACTATAAGGCATCTCTGCCTGAAATATGAGGACAGTCATTTTTCGGTCCATGTTCCACCTCTCACGCGGTCTTGAAAAACAGTCGCTCTTAAAACTATACATTGCCAATTGTATAATGTTCACATAAAGATAAGCATCCCTATCGTCGTAAATGTGTAATACAGCGCATATTAACAAATTTTGCGTCATCGTCACCTCTCCCATCAAAGTCGATCTAAACCTAGATTTACAGACGAGAGAATGGTAAAAAATTACAGTAGTCGTAAATATAACACTCATAACTATCTCATTAGATTCTTTTTTTGAATCCGCGATAAAATCACCATATTCAGAACAGATTTTACAACTTATGAGCAAATCCGTGCAAAATCAAACATTGCATGGCAAAATAAAATTCGCTGTTCTTTTGTATACAAGTAACCTTTAGAAAGTATACAATTGCTGTGTAGTTTTTTTCCTTGAAAAAATTATTTGTTAAAAATTTTCGTTTTCAGTCCCGGGATCGAGTTGGCGACACCGAACAGGTTTAAAATAGGTCACGATTCACTCGACTCGCATATCAAAACAACAGCGCTAGAAAAAGCTATCATAGTTCCAAGTTGTTGTACAACTTGTCATAGTCTAAACACCGTGATTTCATAAAGATTAGATTAATCCCAGTATTCAAGAGAAGTCAAAAGCTTATGGCTCTCCCGTGTTGCGTAATGTGGTAGGCGAGAAACAACGAGAGTTTTGAGCATGTGCCTTAGTTCAGAATTTCATAAGATTACGATTGATAATACTAGAGTTGATTATCTTTCAAAATATGTAAAGTTTAGTTTGGGGAAATGAATTTGGAATTTTTTACAATTTTTGGAAAATCATGAAGAAAGACATAAAATCACGCCATCCTGTTGTGTACATGTGACCATCAAGACATTGATATAATAAAAATTAACACAACTCCGATGCATATAGCAAAGTGAATATAATAACCTTAACTAAAACATTATATTCTTAGCTGTTCGTAAGAGCCCAAAGTTTTCCTGTTTTGCCGTTTTCTCCATTTTGCGGTCTCCGTAAGTTTGACATCTGCACCGTCGCTTTATGTCGCGTCTCGATAAAAACGGCTGCTCCTGAAAACGTCTAAATTTTGCAATTTGTGCTCCTTGTGCGCTTGATACATGTTGGTGTTCTTTGCGACAAAATTTATTAAAACACTGATCGAGGCGACTATTTAAAGCTTATGTTCAGAGTTTTCTATCGTCAATCCTGCTTATCATTTATTTTTGACAGAGGCCGAGTCCCGGGGGGTACTCGATATATTCCTGGGTGGGGAGGTGCGGTGCGGCCCCTCATACCCTGACCCTGTTTAAGACAAATATCGCTGATTTTCCTACCCTGTTTAAGACAGAATTCCGATTTTTTATACCCTGTTTAAGACAAAAATCTCGAAAAACATACCTGGCTGGCCGCACGTCCCCATTAAGCCCTCATAAGGGAGTACCCCCGCGGGGGGCCGAGCGAGCTTGCGTGACAGTTGAAATTGTTCATAGGGTGGGGGGGAGGGGGGAGGAAGCGGTCTCTCTCTCTGTATTGCGTTAATTTGGTGTAGCAGATTTCTCTTTAGAACGCTAATACTATTTTTACCAAGAATTTATCTTTCTTGTTACTTACTTTTGAAGAATCGAACACCTCAATTTTATGTAATTAAATTAACCTCATTAGTACATGTTTATTTCCCACGTGAACTAAATAAAGATTCTAAATTTAGGAAAGACAATACTTTGCGTGTTCCTGCTCATGGGGAAATGATGTAAGTCTTTTGCTCTTTCGGGAGTATAGTCGGCGGTCCATGTTCGTACATTTATCATATCATATTGTCGCACAATGCAAATTAGGTAGGGTAGTTCTGTCAATTGAAACCATCGAGATCTCTTTCCTGTTTTGAACTGATTTGATTTAAAACTTCGGAACAACGATCGTCAAAAACAAAAGAAAAGAGACATATGACAAAAAGACCCTGTCTTGGCCACTGGGAGTACCTTATCCATGAACTCTTGCTCAGCCTGATATGCAAATTTTGTGTTGCTTTACAAACGAGACGTAATTTGCACATAGTCTCAAAATGGATTCACTGTGAACTGCATGGGAACACATGTTTGAACTAGTTGGCTTTATCGTCAGCCCTCTCGCGGTTTCTTTCAGAATTTTCAGGAAAAAGTGTATTAACAGTATAAAGAGTACAAATGTGTAAAGTGAGCTACGAAGAATTCATCGCCGGAAAACTAAGCCGGTTTTGATCGTGGCTGTAGCGGCGGGCTTCTCTTTTCATGATAAACCTCCCGAATGAAATTAAACAAACGGTAAAGTGAAGCACTTTGAAAATTCGAGAATACCATATCCAAGTTGAGGTCAGTATATATGCATTATTCTTTCCGCTTTTTGAGTTGCCAGGATTTTTAAAACAAAAACGATTTTGTTTTTGTTAATGGTCACGCATACACAACATGGCGTGATTTTAAGTATTTCGTTGACGATTTTCAACAAATTCTAAAAAATCTCACATTAATTTCCCCAAAGTAAACTTTACATACTTTGAAAGATCGTTAACTCGGGTATTGTCATTCTTGATCTTACGAAATTCTAAACAAAGGCACACGCTCAAAATTATCGTTATTTTTTGCCTACCGTTTTACGAGGCATGGGAGAGCCATAACTTCTTCACTTCTCTTGAATACTCAGATAAACCTAATGTTTATAAAATTAGGGTGTTTAGACCATGGCAAGTTATACAACAAATTGGAACTATGACAGCTTTTTCGAGCGCAGTAGTTTTGACAAGCGAGTCAAGTGAATCATGACTAATTTCAACCCTGTTTGCACGTATTTGGGATTGCCAAAATTGTACCTCCGTCCACACGTATCCGGATATTTTTTAATCCGCAACTTTTTCTTTTTCTAAGTTGAAAACGGCTTCCATCGTTTTTCTCAGGAATTAACACATATTTCAAGGAAAAAACCACATGGCATTCATATACTTACCAAAGGCTATCTGTATGAAAAAGACGAGTGAATTCAATTTTTTTCAGGTTTGCCGAAGATTTGCGATTTTGTTTTATTCTTGCACGGATCTGCTCTTACAGAGTGAATGCTTCTGGTAAGACATACACCGAATGCAAATATGGCGTCCAATTTGAATTGCTATTGCTCTGGACTAACTAGCCCTGGAAATACAAAACGATTATTACATGTGTGAGAGGCTAGTCAGTCCAGAACAATGGCAACTCAAATTGGACGCCATATTTTCATTCGGTGTATGGTGTGTTGTATTATTCGATCAGCCAGGTTTGGAGTTGGTGGCAAGCTTAGCATTGTTTCCCCACAAATATATGCAAACCAAACTCAATCAAAGGAATTTGAATACTTTCTTTATGTCGTGCACTTGAAAAAAGACAAAGCTTCAAATATTTTTAAATCTATAATTCGATATCAAAAAAACTAGGAGATCAATACTCATGCTCCTGCTGGATAAATCAAAACCTTTAGTCTGCACTAAGTTATATGAATTAAGGAAAGAAGGATGATTAACTGCCTGCGACTTAGTTGATTGAAAACACGGTAGCTAGTGTTTGTGTAGAACCTCGATTCAGTTAGACCTAACGTTGCAATTGGTTTTTTTTTTTTTTTGAATGAACTAACACATAAAGTATTCATTGAAGGCTGGTGTTTAGTGTCGCACTACTTTATCAAAACACAACTTCACGAGAGTTTGTATGATGTGCTCTGCACCTTTGAGTTTTATTAACATTACCCTAAGCGGGAGTCTGAACTCTGGCAAAGTTCCTAATTGTTTAGGCTGGTAACAGGACTCGATCCACGGAGCTCACCGACAGCTGACACCAGCTGGTTTCTTTTACTTGTATTTTCTTAAAATAGCCCAGGAAAACATTTCAGCGACATCATGGTATAATGTAAGGAAGCCGCCTTTTCGTCGGTATAAGAGTCAGACAGAATGGACTCCTAGTGTCAGTATGTTTTTTGAAAAAATGCGGGCGTCTTTCAATCGCCAAATGATTTTCTTTGTCTAACTCGAAGACGTTTTATCTTAAAGATTTGAAAACCGTTTGATTTTGACTCAGAGCACTTACCTTTAAGCTATAACGGTAATTTAGCATAGAGAAACGGGACTATTTCTCTAGAATAGTTGAAGAAAATCCCTTTTCTTGGAAACTATCCCTCAAAAAATCTTTCCACTCCACCTTCGACGTTGTTAGTATAACTTTCTCCATCTTTGATTTTAAATTTTGAACGACCATATTCACTATACTTGTCACAAAAAAACCTTTTACTAAATATACCTACGTTCCAGTAAGTTGAGCCTGAAAAGGTTTGTGCGTCACGCGACACTATTCGAATCATTTCATTATTAATTTCTCCCGATTATCAATTTGAGGCTATAGCGAATTGTTACATAACCCCATTCAGATAATGAACTAAAAAATTTTAGGGTGTCAAGCTTTTTGAAAATTTAAAAATGTGATAGCTATAACGATATCAACGTTGAATTTTCGGTATAATTACGAGAGAAATCTTTTGCAACCGCATGTCACTTCATACACGTCAAGGTGCTACCTGACTACCGAACAAGTTAAGGGGGGACATAACTATTCAAAATAAACTTAATTACCCAGTTACATTACCACTCCATCACAAAAGAAACGCTTCTCACGAGAAGTCTGAAATAGAAACAAAATAAAACTGGTAATCGAAATCTAAATTCCTTTTAAACATCGGTAAAGAAATTTAACTTGCCTTTTCAGCTTTTTGGCGCTTAAAGTAGGATACATGACTCAATTGTGTAGGTATCAAAGGGTATAAAAGGCCTGAGGCCGAACCAATTCAAAATGTGTTTAAAAAGTTTATGAGCGTGAAAGGTAGGACTATAATTGCACATCTAAGGAACTTCTACACATCTTATTTTCTACTCATATACCCAGGACCGAGGTACTTTTTTCGAATACAAAACTTTCTTTGATCCAAAGTAATGTATTCATGGCGTTATGTGACACTAAGACCAAAATACTAGTATGTGGGAGTTGAGAATCAAATTTAGATCATATTCTTTGAAGTAGTTAGACACAATTGCAATTTCGTAAGATATCGCCTGCCCTAACCAAACCTTCAAATATCTTATCGATCAATGGCTCCATGGGTTCGGAACCCAACTCATTCTGATTGACTTCAGGACAATTTTCTTGCTTTGGCGAATGATTCACGGAAAATAAAAAACAAGGCTGACATCAAATATACCTTGTTCACTTGCTACAGGCCCGGATGGCCTTTAACAATATTACACTTAGTATTAAAATAAGATGGCACTTATAAGTAATGATGGAGTTAAATGGCGCCCTTGAATCTGTTTAGGTTTCTTTTCTTGGATAGAGAGCATGACGTTTCCATGACTCGGTCATCATTTTCAATTTCTTACAGTCAGATTCATATGAGTATACACTAAGACTTCTTCACACATTCTTAGTATATAATGATAAAAAAAACTTTCCTTCTGTGTTTTGATTCAGAGTGCATAAATCACAATTCAGAGAAAAACGGAACTTTTCTAGCGTACGTTAGCTGTGTTTCAACTCGGTTGCAAAATGTTTTGGTATCTAGAATACACAACAACAGCATCTAAAATGAAAACGAGGCAGGGAAAAGACCATCGACTGACCGCCGACGATAAAAAATGCTCATTTGATATTTGAAAACATGGTGTTTCTTATCATCGACATCCTGGTTACCAAGCAAGATTAAGACAGGATTTGAACACAGGGAGGATGCACATAATATTTTAACTTTTTAAAAATGGTGTATGACTGCTTAACAGTCAAAAATAAATAAGAGTGACGTCAACCAATTGCTATTTACACTATGACGGATTCAAAATAAAAGCGTATGAAGAAGTTATCTCTACTGTAACACTGATTTAATCCACGCACCTTTACTTGCGAATATCAGATGAATAAAGCAAGAATCATCGTATGGCCATTAAGTGAATTGAACCTCTATGTATTCTATATCACAGACCGTCTTTTCTTGGAAAAAATGGAGTAATCTATTCAATGGTCGACATGTATACGTGTTCTGATTGTGATCAAAATAAATGAATTAGCACCAGATGTTGTTTTGTGATTTTCTTATACTACACTAAAACATTTCTGGTTGTCCAATTCTGATTTAAGTGAAAGTCCTATACTGGCGCGTTTTAAAGCTATTTCACGCTGAAAAGGCTAGCCAACCGTTTCAACATGAAGCGAGGTGAATTCCAATTCGAATGAATTATGTAGGCAACATTGTTATATTTCCTGTATTTTCGCATAGGGAAATATAACACGACAACATTTAGTCGTGAGGACACTGTTGTCGCGTAAGTAAGAACAAGTGATCATCCGGTATAACAGCCGATCAGTCTAACGAATGTTCGTCACTGAGCCTGTTAGGCAAAATTATCCGGTTAATTTTTAGTGTCTGCATGGTCAAATCAGAAACAATGTCATGTAAATTTCTTTCGTTTATCTAAGGGCGATAACGTAGGACATTTCATAAGCCCAGAAAAAGCATCAGGTAAAATAGTAGCTAAAGAACAGTTGGATGAAAAGAAGAGAAATAAATCATAGTCTTTGATCTTTGATGGAAACACCTGTGACATTTAACTCAATCCATAATATCCTTAAATTGTTTTGATGTATAATAACAGCGATTAAAAACTGTATTTTCTGATACATGGGGTACCAGCATAAAAAGTTTCCGTAAAGCCTTCGGAATCAAGTACCTCGCAAGCCAGGGGGACTTATTAGCACCATCCAGTATCCAATTCACTCGGGCAATTTTTTCCAGGATGAAGGCTCAAATAGCTAAATGCTTCGAGAGAACACACGAAATGTGCCAGAAAAAGATTGATGATCGTCCTTGCCGAAAAGCCCCTTACGGCAAACTGTATTCTTCCTTGCATCAACACACTGCTGGGCACTGCCTATGACATTGACATCAGAGTCTAAAGGAACTAACTGATTCACCTGCTTTACCGGATCAAAGTTCTCATAACGGAGGGGAATGACCGACTCAGTCTCCAAGAACCTGTATGTAAATTAGGTTTTTTTAAAATTTTACAAAGACAAGATGAATATAGAAGATTGCCTTGCTCGATTTGCTTTAGTGAAACCTCATTTAACTGACGAATAAAGGTAACAATTGGAGTCAGTTTCCAAGACTAACGCTCAAACAATGAAAGGTAAGTTTTTGCAATGTAATCGACGTGTCCTCACAATATACCATTTTAGGGTCTACTTTGATTGTGGTTCAAAAGTGGGAATCTGATAATAAAGGAAGGCAACTAGTTAATGCGAAAAGAAGAAGTTTTGTGAAATTACTTACCAGTCTTAAATTTTCTGTTTTAGATCAGGCAATTTTTCCATGGCAGCGCCGGAACACACAAATGATCTTTCTGATACCAAGTCAACTAGGTTATACAAGAAGTTATTAATAAACAGTTAATAATATGTTGATATATAGCGACAACTTGCTTAATCGTCTCATCTGTCCGTTTTTATAGTTTTGTTTGCTGTCTTGTCCATACTGATCTCATCGTCCACAGCAATTACTAAGAAGAGATGTCACTTAGATACGAACACAAAGGTTCAACTGAACAAATTGCTTCCAATGCTGCTAGAGTTGGGCGTAGATGTATTCAAGACAAAAGAAACCATTGTAAGCATTCTCAACCAATATCTATATACTTTAAATATTATTAGAGATCAATGATAGTGTAATTTTATGAATAACGCATGGTGTAAGCAAATGCACTAAGCCGAAGAAATCAATGAAAGATATCTTACACATAATGAAAAAGGTTGTGACCCACCATGAAGTCATTTAAGTTCAGCTAATGAAATTGAAAATAAGGAAAATCAAGTACTCTTTCACTTTGTACAGGGCAGCATTAAAGATTTTGTAACTGAGAGTTGGGAGACAAGGAAACAATGGACGGGAAATCTCCTCAATCGCAGTTTTTGACGCGTTAAGCGGATTGAAGTACCATGAACGTGTCCCAAGGTTGTAAAGGGGGAGCCTTGGTGATTCCTAAAAACTAACAAAGCAAGCAACCGGAAGAGGAGATAACTATCAAAGTGAAAAATATTTTAAATTGACCTAACCTTGCATCATTTTTCTGCTTTAATTGTAGGAAAAAAGATGGCTGAATGACAGCTACCAAACGGCTAACGTAAAGTTAATAGTTACACCTATCAAACAATTACAGGCTACGAATAAAACCACGGTGAGAGGCATATCATTCTCATTTACATCTTTACCAGTGTAATGATTCTTATGTTCAGTTAGCTGTTTGTTATTTGAACAAAGCATGTGCCCTTTCGCTCGAGAACCGCCATCGGCCGAATGCCGATATTGCATCATGAAATTTAAATCGCTTTTTACGTTGAAAACAAGGAATAAACAAATAGAAAGTGAAACAGTGATGAGACACAGATATGAAATGATGGATGGTGGCATTGTTATCATTCTAGGGTCTTTCGGACGCGTTAAGGGAAGGCAAACCCTGGGGGGCGTTTGACCTTTGAACGGTCTCTAGTGCCTAGAGAATTACATGAAATTTCACCATAAGAAGCTCTTCCCGTCCGAAGCTTGGCCTATGTTTAACCGTACTAATTTTAGCGTTTTCCATCTGCAGCCTCAAAGCACGTTGGAAGCGAACTATCGCATTTTGAAAGTGTTTATGCCTATTCTAAGAGGGTTAAAAAGAAAACTCAGCGCTTTCCCAGTGGCTAGAGATGTAACACATCAGCTACAAGAAATTAAGTGGAAAGTTGGAAATATCATGATTTTTGTTCGCGCAATTCAAAATGCATTAAAGGTATGATGGTTGAAATCATGTTCAAACTTACCTGATAGGAATGTTTTGCAGATAAAAGGCCTTTTCACACTGTGAAGATGAAAACTTCTCAAGCAAAATTTTGGCTTATTTTTTCGGTTATCAGTTCTTATAGTGTGGTGTTTGCACCGCTCATTCTTTGAGTGCTAAAGATATTACGTAGCATTGAGTTTAACATAAAACAATACTGGTTAGAAAAAACTCTTAAGTCGCCCATGTTTCCCTCTTTTTTGAAGCCTGACCAGCCACGAACATCAGGTATTCGCCCCAGCACGACCGCTGTCAGTAACTCCACTCTCAGCTCAGTTCGTGGTGTTCCAATTGTTATCCAGACCCCAACAACAGCAGCACCCTCGGCTTTAACACTTAGTGGAGTTGCTGTAAAAGCATCAGCTACGCTAGAGGATTTTTGCACTAATATCGTTGTAATTCACCGAATCGAAATATGGCGTCTAATTTGAATTACCATTGTTTTGGACTAACTAGCCTCGTCTTGACGTGGAAACACAAAAGGATTATCACATGTGTGAGAGGCTAGTCACTCCAGAACAATGGCAATTCAAATTGGATGCCATATTTCGATTCGGTGCATGCAAGTGGACTTTGTGAAAGTGACCAAATTCTTGCCTAAGAAATGAAATAAAAAAGGCAAAAGTACAGGATCTAATTACAGCCTATTGTAAGGATTATGGCATAATTTAATAAAAACTAGAGAAGTGAAGTACTTGTCTTTGGTGAAGATCTCCATGAGCCTTCAAACTGAGTTATCTAGCGCTCTTGGCATGAAAGTAATTGTTGCACACAGAAACTATGATTTAGCATCTTGCTCCACCTTTCGACTCTTTTCTGAACCTATTAAACAACTTCTTGTTCCTATTTATGATACTAACACATTAAAGGTACTGCGGTCCGGGTAAAGGCGACAGCTTAGATAATGTCCTTTGATTGTCTTCATTCTTTCTGTGAACCAAGCAGGTGTAGCAGGGAGATTGTTTCCCATTACCTACTTTAGACGGCTAGGTTTAATAGGAAAGCAACTCATCAAGTGAACGAGTCTAAGGAGTTACTTGTTCCTTGTCACTCAGCTTGCACAAAGGCTTCTTGCTTTACTGATACTTGCAATGAAAAATACGTGACCGTGATGTGACTGAGAACCTTTAAAGTGGGATTTTTCTAACAGTTCATGTCAACAGTTATCTCATCTAACGCTTTTTGGTTAAGGCTGAAAAAAAATCGATGTAGTTCCATAAGATGTGAGTTTGAAGTCAGTTTCCTCTTAACCAGGATTTTCAGTCACACAAGCAAGAACTGGTAGTTTTTTATTATTGAGTTTAACGTAATCTGAAGCACCTCGCTTAATTTCCTTTAGTGGAAGTGTTTCAAAACAGGAGATATTTCATTACGGTCAGATTAAGCTACAAAACAATTTCTAGTATTTTATGCCGATGAGGTAAGAACGACACGAGTAATCCTTCCAAAAATTAAAAGAAATATTCCTTCGATATATACTGGAATATACTACCTGAAAAGTTGGTGTCTCCTGCTCGGCGGGGGAAGGACGAAACCCTAAAATCAGACAGCCGCGGGAATTGGCTAGAGAACTTTTACATTATGGGTTCTACTGCCCGTTTTACGAGAATAAGAAATGTATTTACATTCTGCGGAACTAAACTATAAGTGCCAGTGACGGAGAATGTAAATAATTTGCAACTAGTATGTAAGTTACCTCAAAAAGGTCGGCCAGAGAAAGCATTAAGAAGCACAATTATGATCACATGTTACATTGTTTGTGAAAGGATGATGGATAACATTTATTTAAACAATAGAGTGTTTCTGTCGAGGAACTATCGGCTGATAGTTGCCCCGCGGAAATTTGATGTTCTTAAAACAAATATGCTAGTTTTAAGAACATCAAATTTCCAAGGGGCAACTATCAGACCGATAGTTCCGAGACAGAAACACTCTTGTTTTTATTGTTCACCACTAAATTTTCTTCCGCGCCTACAGCTTGTCACAAATGTCAATAATGCGCAACCGTACATTGGCTAAATAATACGTTATACCTGTCAGAATTGAAAACTCACTGTTTTTCCGATCTGCCTAACTTCGCGGCCGTCAAACTATTCAAAACTTTTCACGGATGAGTACTATCAATCCAGGTATTTTCCGCGGACGGGCACTATCCATTCGGGTATCTTCCGCGGGCAGGCACTATGGGCTGATAGTGTCTCTCCACGGATGAACACTATCACGTCACGTGATCGATTTAAACCAATAAGAACCGGAGAAAATTTAGTGGTGAACTATAATTGAGGATAGATCCCTGGAAAGCTGTTCGGTCTCATTTGAAAAGAAAATAGAAGTTCTGGTAAATTCCTTTGACACGCAGTTGTTCAGTGACTGATTTCGCCAACGGTGTTTTCCCAGCTGTCCTGATACTGCTCAGGTCATATGCAGTTAAGATCAGCACTATGTACAATTATAATGATGGAACAGTTATTACCAGATCATTCTCGACGTGAGTCATGCTGGTAGCTTTGACGGTGAGTCCTATAAAGACTCGCTAAGACCCAAATTGTAGTTGTAGGCAACACAATCACAAAAAGAGTCTCCTAACATTCCTTATCGGTCAAATTTTAACACATACACTTGTGAGTCCAAATTGACCTTTTCATGATGTAAATAGTAATTCTGTGGAGGTGTAGTCTGATCGTCCGGGTGAGTGTAGTCCTGAGAAGGACTGTTACCCCCGGGTTCAAGCCATTTACTGCAATAGTAATTCTCCTCACTCTTTAGAAAAAAAGCTGCCTTACTATTGGATTGGTGCTGTCAGTGATCCGGTAAGCCCAAAAGTATACGAGGGAAGCGTGCAAAACACCTTAATTCTGAAGTCACTCGAGACGACAGAATAGAAGGTCAATTTCAATCAAGTTTGTCCAGTTGTAACCCTTTATTTATAGTTGCAACATACGAGACGACTGATAGGAGTACGTAAACGTCCACTGTGAAATTTGTGCTTCCCTTGCCAATTGGCTTTGCGTTACTGGCCACGCTTGGAAATATTACATACTATTTAAAAAAGTTCTTCCTCTGGGGCTCTTGAGAAGACCAAAATTTAACGTCCCCAAGCGAATGCAATGTGAAAACGTCCTAATTTAATCTATTAATGTCACAGCCAAAAACAGACAGCCAATCTTAAAAGTCTTCCTGTAGTTTGTATTTTCTACTTCTTAGCGCACCAACCAAAAGCGTACATCATATAATCGTCTATCGTAGTTACTGGGGTGTAAAACAACAATCAAATACTAACCATTCACATGAGAATTTATATTACTGCGCCGTCACGGCCACGATCAGTTTCCAAACACTTCATTGATAACGCTACCGGGAGAAAACATGGACTTAATATGCATGCGAAAAGTGGCCCTTCTTGGAAAACGTCCCTAATTGATGTTTCGATCGATGAATTTCTTTCCAACGAAGTTTTGTACTTAATAATTGATTATATCTTGCCATCCTTACTGTTGTTACCCAAAATTACCCTGAAATTTTCTTGTTGTTACAATTACTTTAAGAAAATCTTAACTTTCAATTTCCCCACCTGACTATAAAACGAGTCTTTGTTCGAATCTTCTTTAATAAAATTTTGTCCGTCCGACTTTCCTTTAAAAATGCAAGAGTGTAACAAATAGCTATTTGCTTTTTAAATCTTCGAGCCTCTCGGAATTGGTTCAAGTCTAAAATCAATGCAGCTCTGTTACGTACAAAATCATGATCGAAAATGTACCGTCTCTTTTTCCCGAATTAATAATTCAATGCCTGCAACGGATCCGAGACAGAAACCACAAGTACTGAAACATGACGCAAAGTGAGTAAGTTTACCTTTCGAGAGCAAAGTTTAACCCAGACTAAAGGAACTGAAAGTTTCCTGATTTTCAAAACATGGCTCAAAGTGACTTTTTAATCTCTTCACCTCACTGAAACGAGCTTAGTGTTCACTTTATTCGGTTTTATCAAAACGTCAATTTAAAATTTTTAGATGTGTTGTTGTTGCAAGAGTGGAAAAAAAATAGCCATCTGATTGGTTTGTGGGGATATTTCATTATATTTAAACCACAAATTATAGGAACACACCATTGCAATTGCTGCCACATTTGAAAAATGAAAGACACAATATAAAGAAAGACACTATATATTGAAAGAAACTATATAAAAGCCGTTCACCAATAAAGATTCTCTCAGTTTAGACTTAAAGACAAGAAGTGGCAAAAACCTTGCCAATTTAGAATCAAGGAAAGCAAAATGACAGGTAAGGCATCTTTTTTACTTGTCAAAGAAGCAAAGCTTGAGAACTACCAAACTATTTGCAACTCTTCAAACTGCGATTTATAACCTTACGTGTATGATATCGACTTTGCGACGTAAATAAAAATTTCCGTTGAGTACACAAGGATTAATTTTGATTCGGTAGCCGACTGACCCGATTGATGAAAAACATTTGATATGCATTTGTTCTTTTAAGGATTTTTAAGACGGAAAGCAGTTGTAGCCAGGATAGCCATGACGATTCTGTTATCCTCGACGAATGGTGCACCTGTTGATAGACATTCTTCCTACTGTAAAGTCAGCAAAACAGCTCGAGGTTTGATAAAACATTTGTTACCGATGTCGTTGATACTCGGAGGAGACGTTCATAGGTCGTATGTGAATGTAGTAAGTCTGTCTTTTTTTTTCATACATTAATCTAGTTTCGTTTAAGTCAGTAAGGAAGAATGCCAGCGAGTCATTGAGTCTGGCGACAAGTTAGGGTTCTCGGTGGGTCCTTCGGCAATGAAACATTTAGGCCTTATAAAGTTACTGAATAAGTTATTCTTTCAGTGAGTCAATTAGTTTGTGAGTCATTGAGTCATTAAGTTATTAAGTCAGTGAATCAGTAAGTCAGTGAGTTAGTCACTCAATTAATCATTTACTTATGAGTCAACTTCCTCATCAAGAAAGAATTCAGTTAATTCTCATTTCAATTAATTCTCTATTCTTTATTCCAACAAAACTTCTATCAAGAGTTTTATGCTGACAAATTGACAACTGAATTGTCTGACTTGATGGATTTTCTCGCGAAATAGTTTCTTCTTTATGGAGTAATGTGATATTTTCACTGTTTGATTCCCGGTTGGTTTGGAGTTAACTTTAGATATATTGATTGATCAGCCGATGGATCCTTGTGTAGTGCAATCGGTTGATTGAGTGACTGAAAGGGTCAGTTTCTTGTTTTACTGTACACACTATACTTGAGACCATTTGTCTTTGTTCAATTGCTGTATCGTTACTTTACCGTTTTGTTTAGTCCAAGCAATGGCTCACCCCAGCTGACCAGTGGACAACTGCCGAGTTTTCGTTCTCTTTGCCACAACCATTGAATAGAAGCAGATTACAGGTACAGATTACAGGTTGGCTCACTATTCTCCTCCAATGTTTTTAATATCAGGA